AGTAAGTGATATGTCTTTAAATTGAATAATTGACTGAGAATAAAAATTGCACAGAAATTAGGGATGAAGTAATATTAATAATTGACTGAAATTAAAAATGATCCCAAATTAACCAAAATGAAAAAGAAAATGGCAGACCGTCCAAACAATAGTATATGTAAATTGGAAAATGATTCTATTATTAATATTTGATTGGAAATATTTTAAAAAATATGTTATTAATAATTAACTAATTGATATGTATTGCAAAAAATAATTGACTGAGAATATAAATGACACAAAAATTAGGCCAATTGAGAAAGGAAATAAATATTAATAATTGTCTGAAAATTAAAAAAGATCTCCATATTAAATATTTCGAAAAGAAAACGGATTAACTATTGTATAGATAAATTGAAAGAAGTATCTGTTATTAATAATTGACTGGAAATATTAAAAATAAAGCTGTTATTAATAATTAACTAATTAATATGCATTAAAAAAATAATTAACTGGGAATAAAAATGGCACGGAAATTAGGCCAATTAATAAAGGAAATGAATATTAATACTTGATTAAAAATTAAAAATGATCGCAAATTGATTCAAATGAAAAAAGGAAATGGCTAGACCGCCTAAACAATAGTATAGATAAATTGGAAAATTAATCTGTTACTAATAATTGACTCAAAATATTAAAAAAAATAATCTATTATTAATAAAAAAAAAATTTGAATGCTACTGACTCTATTATTAATAATTATATTGATATGTAGTAACAAATTAATAATTGACTAAGATAAAAATGACACGAAAATTATGTCAATTGAAAAAGAAAATGATTATTAATAATTGGTTGAAAATTAAAAATGATCCCCAATTAACTATTTCGAATAGGAAACACATTAACTATAATATAGGTATTATATGAGATACATATGGATCTGAACTCATTGATTTTCAGAGGAAATAGTCATGGAATGGACAAATTATTTTGAGAATACTTTGCACATAGAAGATTGTTACTACGTTATTGCATGACTATATATGTTTATTATATGGTGCCAAGCACCTTGTGCTCAGATGGCATGTAGTGATCTCTTCCATGTGGGAGGTCATGAGATCGAGCCTCAGTTCAGGCGTTGTTGACTCTGTGTGCTCATTAGGTTGATAATTGACTGGAAATATTAAAAAATTTGTTATTAATAATTAACTAATTGATATGTATTAAAAAATAATTGACTATGATTGAAAATGGCACAAAAATTTGGCTAATTAAAAAAGGAAATGAATATTACTATTTGACTCAAAATTCTAAATGATCTCTGATTAACTATTTCAAAAAGAAACGGATTGACTATAATATATGTATTATATGGGATACATATGAATCCGAGCTCATTGATTTTCCCCGCCGAGCTCATTGATTTTCCCCGAGAAAATAGTAATGCAATGGTCAATTGTATGTGGTTTTCCCGAATCACCCATCCTGATGGCCTGAAGGTGTTAGCTTTAGACGAGGATGGACAAGATTTTGTTGCTATTACCAATGTCGTCTACAAAGAGGATTACAATAATGTATAGTTCCAGCCAGTGATATTATGTTTTCTTTTATGCGAGGATGACAAAATTGGTATATATCTACACAAAAATTATATCTTCCATACAAATAAATTAGGACAGCAAATGATTTATATAACTGAGTTCCTAGACAACAAGCAAATTTGCCACTTAATACAAATCATAAAAACTGATATATAAAATATCTAAATTTTAAGCACCGAATGCGTACATCTACACATCGGTTATTAATTAGGCAATTATTTGCTCGAATTCAAGCAATGATAAAATTAAAAAAATACAGTCGATACAACTCAATTCTTAGCTTCAATTGCACTATATAATATTCGATATTATAATATATATATATATATATATATATATAATTGTATACCGATCCAAATATTCTTAAAATATTATAACAAATTCATTATGTGCATCGCACCGGTGAAAATACTAGTTAAGGAATAATAATCAATAATATTTTCATTTTTCATTTTCAGTCAATTAGGGATCCTTCTCTGTTTTCTTTTCGAGTTTTCTATAATAATCAGTAATACTTATTAAGGAATAATAATAATAATCAGTCAATTAGGATATAATAATACTTATTAAAAACAAAATATTCATTTTAACTTTCCTCCCAAACACTTAATAATAATAATGTTAGCAGTAAAAAAGAAAAAAACCATGGGGGGGGGGGGGGGGGGGGGAGGTGTTTAATAATTTAGATTAAAATTACAGGGCATTATTTTACTATTAATCTAATGAATATAAGGAAGATTTTGCGAATAAAATGAAAAGAATCGATTATTAATAATTTAGATTAAAATTACAACACGTATACTTTCCTATCCCTAATACAATTCTACTAATTATATTTGAGAATCTTCAAATAATATATTAGATTTGTTTATAATTTCATATTATCTAAAGGAAAAATGGCACTTTTTCCCCCTATGTTATATACTTATAGCACTTTTCCCCTCTTAGTTATTCAAGTGGTACTTTTCCCCCCTAATATGTTAAATGGACATATTTATCCGTAAAATAAATATTTCATTTAATTTTTTTCTCCAACAAATTATGGTAGTAATTTAGTTCAAACCGAACAGACACTATACCAACCAAATCGAAAGGTTTCGATTATAATTTAGAATTGGAACTCGATATTTAGAGTTTATTAAAATTGCAAACTAGAACGGACGGTACATGGTCCGAACCGAAAAAATAAATTACATTAATTGTTAAATTAAAACTATTTTAAAAATAAAAAATAATTTTAAAAGAAAGTTTGACCCAACAGTTCCAACTGGATTTGGAACCATGAATCAGCGGTTCAAAATCAAAATCAAATTGCGGTCATATATACTTATATGTGAGAATCATAGTAAATTCGAAAAAGAACATACACTATTTGTAAGTTTTGTAATTCTAATTTTAAGCTAATGCTAGTAGTTTTTCCCATTTGAACCAGCTGTTCACGGTTCAGGATCCAATTATTTCGGTTCATGATTTTATTAAATTGAAACCCAAATAATGATTTCTGGTTCTAAATCATAACCGGAAACTTTTGATTCGATTGCTATAGTGTCCGGTTTAATTCGAACCGAACTGTGGTCATCCGTACGTATAAGCAATAATTTGTTGGAGAAGAAAAATAAATAAAATGTTTGTTTTAAGGGTAGAAATGTCCATTTAATATATTAGGGAAAAAATCGTCACTTTTAGAATAATTAAAGGGGCTAATGTGAGTACATAAATAATTCAGGGTGAAAATGTGCTATTAACATATAATTCAAGGGGAAAAAGTGTCGTTTTCGCTTATCTAAACTTATTAAGGAATAATAATAATCAGCCAATTAGGGAATAATAATATTTATTAAGGAATAATAATCAATCATTAGAAAATGAATAATAATTAGTAATACATATTAAGGAATAATAATCAGCAATATTTTCGTTTTCAATTTTCAGCCAATTAGGGATCTTTCTCCATTTTCCTCATTTCGATAATAATCAGTAATACTTATTAAGGAATAATAATAATCAGTCAATTAGGAAATAATAATCTATACTATTATTAAAAACTAAATTCTCCTTTATTGCATTCCCGTCCAAACACTTCTGCCTAAATAATAGAAAAGAAATAATAATACGTAATACTTATTAAGTAATTTTCGTGTCCTTTTATATAATAATCAGTAATACTTATTAAGAAATAATAATCACCAGTCAATTAGGTAATAATAGTACTTATTAAGAAATAATATTCATATTCAATAATAGCTATTAATACCCCATTTTAATTTACCGCCCAAAACAGTCCTATACAATTAAGGTTTGCGTAATATTGTAAAATAGTGTAATACGATTCCTAATAGAATATATTGTTTCATACTTTGCTATACATACCACAATTCTATATTAAAATTCATATTCGTAATACAATAAAATAATATTAAAATTCATATTCTTATTCAACAATATTATTCCGTCACTACTCCAATTCGTATAAAATAGAATGAGTTTAATATTAAATAGATTGCACAATATAACATTAAAACAACTAATATATTAAAATGAATGAGTTTAATTAATAAATTAATTACACAGATAATTATTATGTTAATTAAGATAATAATTACTTAAATATTAGTATAATTACAATTTGAATCTTTTATATTTGTTATTTTTTATTATTTATTCTATAAAAGGAATACATTTACTAACCAAATACAAATAATTAGTTCCATGTCAAGATGGTAATATTAAAAAGTAAATTTAAGCAGAGAACATTGCATCATATGCTTAATATAGAATTCGCTTAATACTTACATAGAAAAAAAATCACTAAAATAAAAATAATAATTTATATAATAAATATTAACACAAACTTTTTGTGACAGTGTGTACCATTACTTTAAAAGAAAATATATTCTAAGTCATCAATCCAAAATTTATCCAATTTTCCACACATATATGTTACCTATATAAATCATTTCATCTCCGCATAATTGTCAACACAAGAACAAGAAAAATAAAAACACAATTCTTGTGTATTTCTACATATACTCTCATTTCCAAATTCCAACAATGGCTAGGAAAAGATTAAGATTGTCGTATATCGTCAATGATCCAAAAGAAAAGCATCCTACGGGAAAGAGGGGGATGTTCAAGACGCTTGATGAGCTCACCGTCCTTTGTGGTGTTGATGCTGCTATAGTAATGTATAACTCTTTTGAGTTAGGGCCAATTGTATGGCCATCTGTTGAAGAGGTTCAACAAAGAATTGCTAGATTCATGAACTCGCCAGATGTGCAACAAACTTGAAGAGTGATGAGTCAGGAAAGCTTTGTTTTGGGGAGGATTCAAAAGTTGAGCATTAAACTCCTAAAAGTGAAGAAAGACAACAGGGAGAGGGAGATGAATGCGTTGATGCATCGAATCTTTACTGGAGAGTTAACAATTGATCTTTGGGGAGGATTCAATTGTTCGCTCTCCAATAAAGATTTGATGCATCAACGCATTCATCTCCTTCTCCCTGTTGTCTTTCTTTACTTTTAGGAGCTTAATGCTCAACTTTTTAATCCTCCCCAAAACAAAGCTTTCCTGGTTCATCATTGTTCGAGTTTGTTGCACATCCGGCAAGTTCATGAAATTAGCAATTCTCTGTTGAACCTCTTCAACAGATGCCCATACATCTAGCCCTAATTCAAAAGAGTTGTACACTATTATAGCAGCATCTACACTACAAAGGACGGTTAGCTCATCAAGCTTGTTGAACATTCCCCTCTTTCATTTTCTGTAGGATGCTTTTCTTTTGGATTCATTGACGATATACGAAAATCTTAATCCACTATCTCAACAACAAGTCAAATTTACGGTAAAGAGAATACAATCTCTACCCAATGTGCGATATACCTCACAAGGTAAGTACCCAATCTAATGAAGCTATAGAGGATTGTTGAGGACAGAGATCCTTGCAACCAGCAGTCCAAAGAGTCTCACGTTTGGAGAACTATGTTGTTGTTGTCTGTCTCACTGACTCACCCACCACTACACTATAGTTGTATGGAATACAATCCAAAGATTAACACTTTGCATATAGTCACCACATTTGTATGGAATACAATACAAAGATTAACACTTTGCATATAGTCTTCTCAATAACACTTTGAGGAGTGGAGTTGCATTATCGGATGGTATTCAATTTTTTTAAAAAAAAAAAAAAATCAGTTTGGAGATGCAAATGAGGCTCAACTGCATAGGGTTATATTTCATAGGATTATATGAAATTCTTGATAATAGGAAATTAAGTAAATAAATATTTTAAGACTCTATATTGTAAGGTTTCTAAATTTTTAATTACTATTTCATATTGTTTTAGTTTTTGAATTTATACTCAGGTATCTTTGTTTAATTTTATTACTGGGAGTTATTACTGGGGAATTTATGTGGTTGGAAGTGGGGGAGCAGTTATTTCTGAGACTATAAATACCTGCTTCACCTAAGCTCTAAAACACACATTCAATCGCCATTTTCTCTTCTCTTCTTCTCTTCTGTTTGAACAATTTGAGTCTTGCCATCTTCTCTTCTCTTCTTCTGTTCTATTTGAACAATTTGAGTCTCGCCATCTTCTCTTATCTTCTTCTCTTCTGTTTGAACAATTCGAGTCAGGTTTGACTGCGATTTAGTTGTGTTACTTTAATCGCAGCATATCTGTGTTAGCCAGTTGAAAGCAACCAAAATTAAAGACTACACATACATCATGCACTCTTTTTCCCACGGGGTTTTTCCTTTTACCTATGGTTTTTAATGAGGCAGCTAATATAAAACAAGAATACACATACATCATGCACTCTTTTCCTCAAGTAGTTTTTTCCCACTGGGTTTTCTAGTGAGGTTTTTAATGAGGCATGAGTATGATTTAGTAATGTAAATGTGGAAAAGTTGCAAATAATTACTTAAGTAGACAAACCCCAAAATCCTGAAGATTATGCCGATTATGCCTTGAAGGCTAATGGTTGTACTTTTTTCCCCTTAACTAAGTTTTTTTCCCAATGAGTTTTCTTAGTATAAGGTTTTTAATGAGACAACTAATGTAACTCATGGTTACTCATATATCATGTACTCTTTTCTCGACCAAATTTTCCCCACAAGATTTTTTCTAGTGAGTTTTTAACGAGCCATGATTATGGCAAAATAATGTCCAAGGGGAGTGTTGTAAAATCTTATGTAGACGTTATTCTGACTTTATATTGATGATGTGATTCTTAACATTATAGGATTTTTGTCCAGCCTATAGTAAAGTAGCCGAAGCTACGACATTTTCAATTATTTTCGTAACAAAAAGAAGAAGATGCCATGGCAGCATTTATATTATATTAAAAAAAAAAAAAACTGCCATGGCAGCATTTATTTATTTATTTATTAAAGAAGATTTTTTTTGTTTTTTTTTTTTAAATAAAAATAAGCGCTTGATTTAAATAAGCAGCATTTACACCACAAAGGACGGAGAGCTCATCAAGCTTGTTGAACATTCCCCTCTTTCTTTTTCTGTAGGATGCTTTTCTTTTGGATTCATTGACGATATACAAAAATCTTAATTCACTAGCTATTTCGACATCAAGTCAAATTGACGGTAAAGATAATAAAATCTCTACCCAATATGCGATATACCTCACAAGGTAAGTATCCAATCTAATGAAGCTATAGAGGATTGTTGAGGACGGAGATCCTTGCAACCAGCAGTCCAAAGAGTCCCACGTTTGGAGAACTATGTTGTTGTTGTCTGTCTCACTGACTCACCCACCACTACACCATAGTTGTCTAGAATACAATCTAAGGATTAACACTTTGCATATAGTCACCACAATTGTATGGAATACTACCCAAAGATTAACACTTTGCATATAGTCTTCTAAATAACACTTTGAGGAGTGCAGTTGCATTATCGGATGATATTCAAATATATATATTTTTTTTTTTTAAAAAATCAGTTTGGAGATGCAAATGAGGCTCAATTGCATAGGGTTATATGAAATTCTTGAAAATAGGCAATTAAGTAAATAAATATGTTAAGACTTATATTGTAAGGTTTCTAAATTTTTAATTACCATTTCATATTCTTTTAGTTTTTGAAGTAATTCTTCAGAATTATTACTATCTATTCCATTAATAATTTAATGATATTTTTCAGTTCTACTAAGGTATCTTTGTTTAATTTTATTACCTATTAAAACACAAAGAGTCCATACCACCTCCACTAAAGCTTGATCTCATGATCTCACATATGGAAAAGTCACTACATGCCATCTGAGCACAAGGTAAGTACACATATTTGTTAGTAATTCTTATTTTTTTTTCTACAACTTCATTTTCAAGTTCTTCTATCTTTTTATCTAATCTATTTAAGTTATTTATTACTTGTTTGGGTTTATCATAATAATGATAATTTTTTCCTTTATTATTTCCAACATTATATATTTAACTCTACGATAATCACCTCTCACATCTCGCTCAGACATTTCTTCCTTCTACACCTGTTTAAATGTGTGAGAGATTGTTAGATATTAAATTCAATAAGGTGTAAAAGTAGTTTCTCTCATTCCTTGTGTCCCACATTGCTTTCACTAGAAACCTTTTCCCTCCTTTTTAACAACAACCCATTTTAAGCATTTGAAATATTATGGAGGGAAAGGAAAGGGGAACCCCATGCGTGTGTCGGCACTGCTATCCCACGTAATTGTGGCCTACTACTATGCTAATTGTTAGTTTGTTACGCCTTTTTTTTTTGGGGAATTTATGGGAAGCAGTTATTTCTGAGACTATAAATACTTGTTTCACCTGAGCTTTAAAACACACCTTCAATCACCATCTTCTCTTCTTCTCTTTTGTTTGAACAATTCGAGTCTCGCCATCTTCTATTCTCTTTTCTCTTTTGTTTGAACAATTCGAGTCAGGTTCGACTGCGATTTAGTTGTTCTCTTCTCTTCTTCTCTTTTGTTTGAACAATTCGAGTCTCGCTATCTTCTATTCTCTTTTCTCTTCTGTTTGAACAATTCGAGTCAGGTTCGACTGTGATTTAGTTGTGCTACTTTAATTGCAGCATATCTGTGTTAGCCAGTCGAAAGCAATCGAAATCAAAGACTACACAGTCTCCGGCAAATTGCTTTTAAGGCAGTGTCTCGTACACGTCATTGATATCTTATTCTTCTTTCTTCTGTCAAGCCTATAGTAAAGTAGCCGAAGCTACGACATTTTCAATTCTTTTCAGCTGTCATGGCAGCGTTTATTATATTAAAAAACAAAAAACAAAGCAACCATGGCAGCTCTTTTTTTTTTTTTTTGGTTTTTTTTTTTTTTTTTTTTTGTTTTTGTTTTTTAATAAGCTCTTGATTTCAAGGATACTAACAGATGCTTTAGAGACACTCGAAGAACAACAACGATCTTGCCTTCTTCACCTACGATGAGAAGTGGAAGCTCGGATATGGAACAGAGAAGGAGCGATTCGAAAAGGATTCTATAAAGCCTTCGATTTAGGGTTGTCCAACTTTAAAAAAATTATTTTTAATTATTTAAATATATTAAATGTCAGCTTTTAGGATATATGTGGATGCTAAGTCAGCTAATTTTAACTCATTATGGCAACTTGTAAAAAGGTCTAATTGCATTTTTTTCAAAAGTTTAGGTGCCTAATTGGAACTTTTTGTAGTTGAAGGGGCTAATTGCACTTTCATCAATAGTTCAAGGGTCTATTTAACCCTTATCCCTTAAAAAATTAAAATAAATAAATAAATAAATAAATAAATAAATTTTTATTTTAAATTAAAAATTATAAAAAATGTAATTTTTTCTTAAAAAAATGTTAAAATAAAGAATAAAAATAATTGTATACATAGGATCCATGTAAACATATATGATGCTACATGTTAGCTTGGTACCATATCAACTGCAACTCATTGAATAGGTAATGATTGGAAACTTAATTGCACTATTTGTTCAGTTTAAAAGACTTCATTGGGACTTTTTTCAGTTAAGCTAAATACTTAATTACACTATTTGTTAGATTATAGTACCAATTTGACACTTTTTCCTTCCATTATCATTTTACACTAACGAAGGTTAAGTTAAATGAAGTGTATCATATAGTAGTTTACTCTTTTTGTGTGGTTAGAATTTGTGAAGTTATACCCTAGCTGTCATTCTCCACCATTATGGCATTATATGCGTGCTTCTGCATGCTATATTTTGGGCTTCAGAAAACATAAACTTTGAATGAGGATTCTGCCTCTGATAAATTGTGCCAAGCCATATATGTTGGTTCATTGCACATTAACTACTCACTTGAATGCCTCCCAGAGATTCCTGTGGAAGAATTTAAGATTTAGAAGCTGAGGAGGTTATGTTTCCTAAAACTTTCCACAGTGTCTTTGAGGGTGATTTCGGAGGGGCGTGAAACTAACGCCCAATGCTTCCGCCCTTTCCCAGGAGACTTGATAGGGTGCGACGAAAGGCAACTCCTGTTTTCCTCTGAATTCCAAACAACATCTTCAAGTTAGAAGAAAACAACTTTTACGACACATTCTAAATCTATAATGCAACTTACTTGTCAGGAATCCGAAGAGAAGGGAAAAGCTTGTGTACAATGTTGAGAGCCACATAAGAGTACGCTACTACCTCAACCAAACAGTATCTCCTGCTAGCCGAAGGATTCTCAAATGCTTTGATATGTGCAAGTGCGACATCTCTAACATCAACCAACCTATATATTCCGTTAGCCATTGCTTCCTTTCCTATAACAGATTATAGTCAATGCTATTGTTTAGATAGAATGCTTGAAAAACAAGACATGTCGAACATAACCCCTGTTACTCGGAGAAAAACTTAGGGCCCGTTTACTAACGGGTGAGTTTCAGAAAATTGGAGAAATGGATAATAGAAAACAGAAAACATATTTACTAGCATAGTTTTCCATTTCAAAAACTGAAAACATTCTCTAGTTTTTTAGAAAACTTGAGAACTTTTAAAAACTGTTTTCGAAATGGGAAAACATAATCATCTATCATTTATTTGGTTATATCACTATAACCACATTCTCACCAATATCTGCTTACACATTTATTATTACTATGATTACCTTCGTTATCATATTCTTTTACTTATCACTATATTTTACTTATCACCATCTTCTATCATTCATACTCGCATTTACTTATATAAACGTAAGTTATTTGCTTACGCTTAAAGTTAGAAATTATTCACATTATCCAAATTCAAAAATAGAAAACAGGGAACAGTTTCCTGAATTAAACATGCCCTTACATACCTTCTTTTATAATGTTAAAAATTGCATCCGATGAGAAACTAAGAGTTGGATGCAAGATAGGACCAATGACTAACCCTGGATGCAGTGTCACCAATTCAATCCCATTCTCTTTTGTGAATCTCTGTGCAACTTCCTCTGCCAAGGTCTTGGAAAGTGCATACCATTGCGGTATGGAACAGATTCAATTAAAATCACTTTGAATGTGCCACTCTTCTGAGTAAGGGATTAAGGAAACAAAATCTCTGTAAAAATGATATTTTGAAGATTGCACTGTGATAAGCGACTTATTCACCCTTCTCTACTTACATAAAGAAAGAAAACTCTAACAAAAAAGTAAACTTCTTGAAGAAACTCTTGACATAAACAAAATAGGAGAATAAGAAACACAAATAAACTGGTTTGGTTACCCTTATCATTTCTGTGAATCCACATGAGTATCAGCCATATATTGAAGTTCAAAATCACACCACTCGAACTGGTTTTATAAAAGGCCTCGAGCACACTAGAATTCAACATGGTTTACTTGGATGATTCATAATGTGGAAGCAGATCGAAGCAGTAAAAGTAAAATAATTGTAGTTGAAATGATACTACGGTGTTGCTAGAATGAAACTATGTATTGAAAATGAAACTGAATATCATTATTGTATTACAAATGCAGTATTTGAATTAACTGAAAACACAAATAAACATAAAACCTAAAATAGAAGAATTCTCATCAATAACAATTGGAGAAGTAGCATCAACTGTAATCCGAGGATTATCATCAACTACAACAACAAAAACTCCAAGCTAAAAAACACAGCTCATATAATAATGTATATTGTTGAATAAACCTAAAGTTTAACTAAAATGATATTGTAGTGTTGATAAAATGAAACTAATGTGTGTTTAAAATGAAACTTAAAATAGAGCTCATACAATATACCATATATTATCAAATAAAATTGAAGTGTAGTTTAAATGATACTTCAGTGTTACTGTTACGTACTCAAATTTAGTACGCAACTGAAGAAACCTTTCGAGCAGACTTCTGGCTCCTAACCGTATTCGAGTCACGGCAAACTCCAATTTCACACTTCGAGCGTGTGTGGGCTCCAAGAAGAATAGACTAGAATAGTAGAATAACAATATATTTCCTCTGAATGGTTCCCCGTATTCATATACAATGGACCTATTTATACTAAATTACTAACACATATAATAATTAAGTTACTACAATTATTCTAACTATACAAGGTAATGATATATTCTAATATACATAATTTCCTTATACTAATATTTAGTCAATTATCCTCTAATTACATATATTCATTCCTTGTAGACCATCCCCTAATTAAACCACCAATTATTTCTTTCCTTTGTTGCGTATCACTCTCCACCCCTTCAAAAAACACCTTGTCCTCAAGGTGTAGAGAGGAATAGAATAAACACATATTTGTTGAAGCAGTCCATGCAACTTTGGATGGGGGCTAGTTGGCAAAATAAATTGAAATGGTTCACGAGCTTGATCGTGACACATAAATGGTCTCCTCCCCTTTTGACTTGCACCGTCTAAAAATATCTCTTGCTCTCCAATGTTGAGTTCCAAGTCTAAGGTAGTAGGACTCACAAGTCTTGTCTCAAGATAATCCTCAAGAGACTCTAAGTTGTTGAAATTGTGAATGTTGCTTTCATCATGAGTGGTTGGGAGATCTGCTGCTATTGATGATTCTTTAGACTCTGGGTTACTTGGTTCTTCTTGAGAAATTGGATTAGAATAATTAGGAGTGTGGCATTCCAAAGTATCATCTTGGTCCGTCTGTAATTCTCCACACACAGCCATCAACAGCTCCAAATTAGGATATTTAATGTCTAAGACACAACAGTTATCGTAAATATTTTGGCCATGAAGAGCTTGTTTGGCCATGAATGCATCTAAGACAGAATCAAACCATACCAAAGCTTGGAAGGTGTAACTTTCATCCTTCAAAATATGAATATATTGTACAGATCCATTTGTAGAAAAGATCGAATACAATACAAAATCATCAATTGAATACCATACATGGTGTACAGAAACCAATAAGCACCGGTGAGTAATATTTTTCATAAAAAATAATTCTCTACTTTTTTTTTTTTGTATTTTTTTCTTTTCTCTCGTTTTTTTTTTTTTTTTTTTTTGAGATCTTTTTTTTTTTTTTTTTTTTTTTTTGAATTTTCAAAGGGGTGCTATAAAAAATGAGATAAAAACAAAAAATAAAATAAAATAACAAAAGGATATGAGATACTCTCACCAATACTCTCAATGAAAGCACCAATGTTACGTACTCAAATTTAGTACGCAACTGAAGAAACCTTTCGAGCAGACTTCTGGCTCCTAACCGTATTCGAGTCACGGCAAACTCCAATTTCACACTTCGAGCGTGTGTGGGCTCCAAGAAGAATAGACTAGAATAGTAGAATAACAATATATTTCCTCTGAATGGTTCCCCGTATTCATATACAATGGACCTATTTATACTAAATTACTAACACATATAATAATTAAGTTACTACAATTATTCTAACTATACAAGGTAATGATATATTCTAATATACATAATTTCCTTATACTAATATTTAGTCAATTATCCTCTAATTACATATATTCATTCCTTGTAGACCATCCCCTAATTAAACCACCAATTATTTCTTTCCTTTGTTGCGTATCAGTTACTAGAATAAAACTACTGTGTGTTGAAAATGAAACTGAATAGCATGTTTGTGTAACAGATGTAGTATTTGAATTAACTGAATGCAAAACTAAACATAAAACCTGAAATTGAAGAATTATCATCAATAAAAATTGGAGAAGTAACATCCATTGTAATATGAAAACTCACTCCAAATGCAACAAGATGATTATTATAAACTGCAACAACAAAAACTCCAATCTAAAAAATAAGTAGAATAATACAATCACCAATATCAAACATGTAAAATCCTTGAAACAATACAATAAATGAATCAAAAACCTAGAATTGATGAACTGTGATCAATAACAATTAGTGAATTCACATCAAACGCATTAATTGTAGAACTTTGATTGCTTCTATATGTTAATTGATCCAAAGTCAATATAACTGTGAGAATACACTTGATGGAACAAATATGGGATAGGCTAAGAAAAAAACAAGGATTAGACTTTAGAGAAGCCGAGTAGAAGATCACAACAAAGATGATACTACATGAATGGTATTGTGCTGACGCCGTCTGCCATACTTAATGGTAACATTTTTTTTCTTAAAATTACTTCAAACGACATTGTATTGCTTCCTGCTATATGGACCATGGTCTACAATAAAATTTTCCTATGTTAACTGTAGGCACATAATTTTAGACTAGGGTCCATAATGCAAGGTGGACCTTGGTCCCTGGTAAAACCAGAGGCGGATCTAGAAATCTTCGCAAGTAGGGGCGAAAGATTAAAATCCAATGAGATATTTTGCAAATAAATTACTTAGAGGCCAAGTCATAAATGTTGTTAATTAGGATGAAAAATAAAAATACATAATGAGATAAAAAAATTATTCAAAACAAAATATGAAATATCATTAATTAGATAAAATCATTTGAATAGAAAACCTATTATAAAACACCATATCACTATTAATATTAACACATTTTTACAAATAAAAATTCCACAAATATGAAATAAAATTAATTAGATAAAATAGCTCGAATAAAAATTCAATTAGAATTAATCTCACTATAAATTAATGTTGTAGGATTTGAACCCCTAACATTTAGGGAAAAACTAAATATTTTATCATCTAAACTAATTCATCATTTGATTAAATTTATGTAAATTTAGTATTTATAAGTTAACTATGTATATACAAGGGACATATACACATCTAATCTAAAAACATAATACGTGTAAATGGATATTATACCCTTTATTTATGTTCGTTTTTTCTGTTAAGTTATATATATATATATATATATATATATATATATATATATATATATATATATATATATATATATCTACAATTTTAATAAGAGCCAATAATGTTAGGCCCTTAACTGGAACAAAAAATGTCGGTCCTATTGTTTCTTAAAATGAATGGTACATATTATACTATTGTTTCTTAAAATTAATGGTTCATATTATTTTTATTTTAGTATTTTTTATTGATTTTCCTTATTTACCCTCTATTATATTATTTTCTTCCCTTAAATAACCTAAATTCCGTTAACATAAACTTTAGTAACGGAATATTCCGTTAAATATTTATTATTTTAACTTACACATTAATTTCTATAAGAAAAGTCTTAGTTTCGAACGACATCCCAATTAGAGTTGGCATAATTGTTAAACATATACTACGAATATGTTAAAATATATTTAAAATATATATAATATAAAATTTAACATAAACTTTATTCAAATAATTAGTCTGACTAAATACATAACATTCAAAGTTAAGCATCAAAGTTATAAATCAAGAACTTTAAAAATCATTTGATCAGAAAAAAACTTAATATTCTTTTGATTATTTAGATCAGAAAAAAACTTAATAAATATTGATTAGAAAAAAACTACCACTACCAAATATCGATTAGAAAATTCAATAAATATTATCTTGCATTTATATATTTTGAATTACCGATTTAAATAAACAAATTCAATATTTATTTACATATGCATGAACATCTCCGATATAATATTGCGTTGATATACTTTGAAATACTTATTTAAAAATAATCATTGGGCATTATCTCATTCGCGCAAAGCGCGTAAAAAAACTAGTATATATATATATATATATATATATATATATATATATATATATATATATATATATATATATATATATATATATATATATATATATATACATTATGCTATAAAAGTTGTACTTTACAATATTTTAGAATGTGGGAGACTGTGGAGTTAATCACGGTGCAGTGGAACCTTTGTAAAATACCCAAGGATACTATATGTAAATGGTGAGGTTGAGTATGTCAAATTAGATCCAGATTTGATCTCTTATAATCATCTATTGAAGTCAATGCAAGATGGAAGATATGAAAAGGTACTATCTCTTTTCTATAAACTGCCACATGAACACCTGGAAGAATTGAAAGTCTTGTGTGATGATGCCACCACATTACACTTAGCTACTTGGCAAAA